GGTGGATTTTTATCATTATAGGGTGGATGTGTACACACACTTCCAACACACATTTATGTTCAAACAACAACAAAAGTGAATTTTGCATCCGATGACCCCTTTAAGAAGATTTTTGTGAATCCAGCCCCAGGACGTAAAAAAATAATGTTTCATATTTGAGAACTACTTAAGAATTTTTCAAGAATTGCACTTAGGGACAGAAATTAAGGGACTTAATTTCTTAACTCCTCTTTTAAAAATATTTTTGTAAACCTGGCTCCAGGAGTGAACAAGTTTCCTTCTTTCTCTGTAGCGCCACAGCCGCAGTTCCCATTACCACCACTGGGGGCGTCCTCCCCCTCAGCCGTCCTGGAGCCGGCGGTGTAGCTGGAACAGCGTGGGTCGCTCCGCCCGTGGCCTGAGGGCCGGAGGGGTCATCGGGGGGAGCTTACGGGTCCGCAGCGTTCACTCGAACCCCGCCGAACACGAGTCTCTCCTGCCCCACCCGCCATTCCTGTCGCGCCGACACCGCCGCGCTCTATCACTCGAGCTGCCTGAGCTCCTGCAGTGCCCCCCGCTGGTCCGGAAGAAGAGCGTGTCTGCCGAACACCAGGACTGCAATGGGAAGGGCCCGGGCCCTCAGGGGACGCTGCTGGGAGAGGTTTATCCACAGCTCAACGCACGCAAAGACAAGCACGACCTGGAGGAAGACACAGAATATGTGAGTGCAGAACAACATCCTGTTAAAAACGGCTATAAGTGTTTCTTATAAATGAGGTTTTGTTGTCAAGGCTTAATGTTTACAATGAGGAAGAGTTCCTCTTCACTACAGATAAATAAATGGATGGATGGACAGACAGATTAACGGATAGATGGATGGATGGATGGATAGATAGGTAGGTAGACAGATGGAAGGGCAGAGACGGATGGATGGATGATGGGTAGATAAGTGGATAGACAGGAGGATAGGCAGATATCCATTTATATGTCTATCTATCCATCTTTCTGCCTATCTATTCACCTGTCTATCCATCTATACGTCTACCTATCTGTCTATCTGCCTATCTATCTACCTATGTGTCCATCTATACGTCTATCCATCTATCTGCCTATTTATCCACCTGTCTATACATCTATACGTCTACCTGTCTGTATATCTGCCTATCTACTTACCTGTCTATATGTAGGCAGGTAGACAGACAGGTAGACGTATAGATGTATAGACAGGTGGATAAATAGGCAGATATATGGATAGACGTATAGATGGACAGACAGGTAGATACATAGGCAGATAGATGGATAGACAGACGTATAGTTGGATAGACATATAGACAGGTAAGTAGATAGGCAGATAGACAGATAGGTAGACGCATAGATGGATAGACAGGTGGATATATAGGCCGATAGACGGATAGATAGACGTATAGATGGTTAGAGAGGTGGACAGACAGATGTGCTGTTGCTTTCAGCGGTCAGTAAGTGTTCAGTTCTCTCAGCTCTGCTGTTGAATCCATTATGCTAATTTCAGATGATTTTCTCTGAGAAGCAGCACATGAAAAGTGGAATAAAGTTACACATTCTCTCTGAGCCTGACGATCTCTCACAGTTTTAAAGGTCCTTTAGGAAGCTCTTCCTCTCAGTGAAGTGATTTAAAAACGCTATTGTGAATCAGTTTGAGCGTATCATTAGATCGATTCACTGCTGAGCGGCACATCGTCACGTCTGAGGAGAATCTCTGCTCATTTTAGCGTTTAATAAACGTCTTGTAAGTGAAATACAGCAGCAGTAGATTCACAGATGTGTGTTTGTGTGTGGAGGATAAACAACATGAAGAAGCTCATTATGAACAATAACAGCAAACACAATAGCCAAACTCTGCTGGGTCACAGCAGCTGTCCGCTCACATGAATATGGATGTCATACGGATGCGTTAATCCTCATATTTTACTCCGTTTATTGGAAACGTCTCCCAGGGAAAATGAAACTGTTATTCAAAATAAATTGGAAGAGTTGCCTTTATCTCAGATAACCAGAGTGTGTGTGTGTGTGTGTGTGTGTGTGTCGCAGAGCCTCTGCTTCCGTATCCAGAAGATGATGGAGGTCTATCGTCCGGACTGGTGTGAGAAGAGAGAGGATTGGTCCATTTACTTATTCTCCCCTCAGAACAAGTATGAACTCACATACACTCTCATTCTGTTTAAACAGTGTAATGTTCGGTCAGTCTGATTGACTGAATTATGTTTTTCAGAGGTGTAAGTATTTGTGCAGTGTTACTTCATTACTACAATTAATCTGTACTTTTACTTGAGTTCTATTAAAATACTTGTGTGAATACTTGAACTTTTACTCAGTTACAATGAAAAATAATAATTTTTACTCCATTGCAATTTCATGTAGACAAAAGTACAAAGTACTGTACTTATGTCATATGACTTTAATTGTTTCTCAATTATTTAAAAAAAAATATAGAGATTTTCTTTATTCTAATGTGAATTCAAAAGGTGAGGGTGATGAAAATATTCACGTAACAGATTTCAGTTTAACATCTGCTGTGTTCAAGAGGTTTACATAGAACAATGAGAAGATAGTCATTTTTGACAGGTTTTGCATCAAAAATACTAAAATGAGAAAATCTCTACTGCCTCTTGATTTCAAACATCATATTAACTCTTTCCCCGCTAGCAGTTTTGATGATTTTCTCTAAAATTCCATGGCCCCCAGAATATTTTGTTTTAAGAATTTCTGAACATGCAAAATACAGACTCTACTTCTAAACAAAGTTATTATTATTTTTTAATTAATTTTCCATTTCATCCTAACTTCAAGCATTCTTTTGTTTTTAATCAACACTTGAATGTAGGTAGGTTTAGTTAAAAAAAGCATTGCTTGTTTCTTCGTCTTCCTTGTCTGTGTTTTTGATCGGCACATTCTAGACCAGTGTTTCTTATTATAAGTCTCTTATTATATAATTCTATAGTCTTTGGAGTTGGTACTTTGGCTTTATTTATGATCAGACACTTGCACTTAACATTTTATGAAAATATGCTCAAATGGAGTTTTTGACGAGGGAATGACGGAGATCTGTGTTTTCATCAACTTACAGGTTATAAAGTTTTTTGCAGCTATATTGGTGCTCAGTTTTTCTTGTGTTTAATACATTTGGCCAAAATCTCATGATGTAAAAGACGAAGCGCTATGCACAGGATATTTAAAACGTTCAAAAGTATATCGGCTGTTGGCTGCAACTAGGCGGCAAATAAGACTCTTCTCCGCTCTTCAAACACACAAAAAACATTAGCCTTTACAGACATAGTGTGTCTTGAGTAAAGAAAACGCTGTACTTATTTCAAACATCAGTTATTTACCTTTGCATTGCAAACAAGCAGAGATCTGTCTCCAAACTGAAAATTCTGTGTTTGGCAGGGAAAGAGTTCA